TAGGGATGTGAAAGTTGGAGGTAGCCCCTTGGCTGCAGTGACCATGAGAAGGTGGAGTTCAGAATCCTGCCTGGAAGAACCAGGACAAAAACTAGAATTACAACCCTGGACTTCAGGAGAGCTGACTTTGGCCTCTTCAAAGATGTACTTGGAGGAATCCCACGGGCTAAGGCTCTAGAAGGAAGGGGGGTACAAGACAGCTGGTTAATAAAGCACCACTTCCTCCAAGCTCAAGATTGGTGCATCCCTATGAGTAAGAAAGGAGGCAGGAACATTGTCAGAATATGACGAAACGAGGAAGGCTACGGCCCAGTTGGAATTAAACCTGGCAAGGGATGTCAAGGACAAGAAGGGTTTCTTCAAGTACATCAGTAGAAAAAGGAAGACTAGGGAAAATGTGGGCCCACTGCTGAATGAGCTGGGTGCCCTGGTGACAGAGGATGCAGAGAAGGCGGAGTTACTGAATGCTGCCTTTGTTTCAGTCTTTACTGCTAAAGCCAGCCCTAAGGAATCCCAGACACTAGAGGTGGGAGAGAGGTCCTGAAGTAAGCAAGACTTTCCCTTGATTGAGGAGGATCGGGTTAGAGATCATTTAGGCAAACTTGACACCCACAAATGCATGGGCCCCAATGGGATGCACCCACAAGTGCCAAGCGAGCTGGCAGATGTCATTGCTAAGCCACTCTCCATCATCTTTGAAAGGTCATGGAGAACAGGAGAGATGCCCGAGGACTGGAGGAAAGCCAATGTCACTCCAGCCTTCAAAAAGGGCAAGAAGGGGGACCCAGGAAATTACGGGAAGCGTCACCTCCATCCCAGCTCATTCTGGATGTCATCTCCAAGCATGTGTAGGGATTTGACACTGTCTCCCCTAACATCCTCATAGGCAAGCTTAGTTAGCGTGGGTTAGGTGAGTGGACAGTGAGGTGAAGTGCGAACTGGCTGCACGGCTGAGCTCGGAGAGTTGTGATCAGCGTCGCAGAGTCTAGTTGGAGGCCTGTAACTAGCGGTGTTCCCCTAGGGGTCAGTACTGGGTCCAGTATCGTTGAACATAGTCATCAACGACCTGGATGAGGGCACAGAGCGTACCCTCAGCAAATTTGCTGATGACATAAAACAGGGAGGAGTGGCTGACACACTAGAAGGCTGTGCTGCCATTCAGTGAGACCCGGACAGGCTGGAGAGTTGGGCGGCAAGGAACCTCATGAATTTCAACAAGGGCAAGCGTAGGGTTCTGCCCCTAGGGAGGAATAACCCCATGCACCAGAACAGGTTAGGGGTTGACCTGCTGCAGAGCAGCTCTGCAGAGAGGGACCTGGGAGTCCTGGTGGACAACAAGTTGGCCGTGAGCCATGAGCCCTTGTGGCCAAGAAGCCCAGTGGTCTCCTGGGGTGCATTAAAAAAAGCAAGACCAGCAGGTCGAGGGAGGTTATCCTCCCCCTCCACTCTGTCCTGGTGAGGCTGCATCTGGAGTCCTGTGTCCAGTCCTGGGCTCCCCAGTTCAAGAAAGACAGGGAACTACTGGAGAGAGTCCAGCAGAGGGCTATGAAGATGATCAGGGGACTGGAGCATGTCTCTTATGAGGAAAGACTGAGAGACCTGGGTCTGTTTAGCCTGTAGAAGAGAAGACGGAGAGGGGATCTCATCAATGCTTATGAGTATCTGAAGGGTGTGTGTCAAGAAGATGGGGCCAGACTCTCTTCTGTGGAGCCCAGCGACAAGACAAGGGGCAACAGGCACAAGCTGGAACACAGTAAGTTCCATGTCAACATGAGGAAAAACTTCTTTACTTTGAGGGTGACGGAGCACTGGACCAGGCTGCCCAGAGAGGTTGTGGAGTTTCTCACTCTGGAGATATTCAAAACCCAGCTGGATGCATTTCTGTGCAGCCTGCTCTAGATGAACCTGCTTTGGCAGGGCGGTTGCCCTAGATGGTCTCCGAAGGTCCCTTCCAACCCCTACCTTTCTGTGATTCTGTAAGAAAGATTTTCCTTCCTATGCCTTTTAAACAATTCAGCATACTTGCTTAGGTGAATTTCCACAGTCAAGGTAATACGAGGATCAGTCAACATGTCTGATAAATACAAAAAATTCACAACGATATGAGTAGTTAAAAAGTCCCCAAAATGTACAATATTACTTTTATAATTACAAAATCACATTTGATTCATTTACTTAAGGAAAAAAAAAATCTTAACTCAGTTCCATATTGAAATACTAATCATGAATTAACATTTTAAAATAATCCCTGAGATTATTTTCTCAAACAAAACTACAGAACAGTTTTTGCCTTCACTGAATTCTCTGATGATTCACTGTTATTCCTTTTTTTTTTTAAGTAAATGGCAAAGCGTTACTAAAAAGGTATTTAAGCTATAAACAAACAACCAAAAAAAGCTTGATTTTTTTTTAAACCTAACAAACTTTTTTGATTCTTCCTGCTACCCTGAAGAATAACTCACTACATGTTTACAGACAAGGTTGGTTGCAGTATTTTACTCGTAGGCTGGCATATCTGATGTTATGTCTCCTCAGAGTACTGTGATCTCATTGACCAAAATATGGCAACTAACCACAGGAAGACTTGTATGAAGTACATTCATGTCATGCTTCCCTGGTATTAAAGAATGTCTTTATATAACTTGAATATAAGTAGTCTATGAGAAGTAATACGCTAAATATAAATATTGCTTAGAATTACAGTATTCAATTAAATCCCTAATATTTTGTGCCAAATCAGAGAAACTGATAAACATAAATCTTCTTTTCCAGATAGCATTTCAGATGTTCCCAGCTGCTGTTGGCTTGTAAAATAGTTTTCAAAAATCAATATGGCACATAAGTATGTTCCTTTACCCAACTATACAAGAAGAAATCATTCCTGAAAAGGGACAATATCATCTATACAAAACTCTCCTTTAGCTCACACAAAGGCATTAAAAAAGCAAAACAGAACCTTCATGCTATACTATAAAATAGTTTCATTTCAAAATTTGTTTATATTTTCAAAAATAAAAAGGAGGAAACATCAGTACAGCAATTACCAATAGCTCACTGGGTTTTTCAAAATGTAAGTTCACACAGAAACAGACAGATGTTTTATACTTATCTAGTACAAAACAGAAATGAAAAACGTTGACATGCAACACGTTCAGTGGCCCATCCAAAGTGGGACAGTGTGAAGAAAATTCCCATTTGAGAACTTCCATTGCAAAGTGATCCCCAAGGAAGTATGGGAAAAGAAAAACAATAATTCTCCAGAAGTGAAAAGAGGGAAATATAGAGAAAAGCGACATCATCATGGCCATGCTTTACTTTTCTCAGGAATAGAAACTTTTGAAAACTTTTTTCTGGATAGGTTTCCTGTAGAAGAAATTAATATAAGTTGTATTGATGGAGACAGACATATTTCTATAGACAGTCCAATTTCAACATTAGCTAGAACACTACTAACAGTTATTAACAAAACTATTAAAAGGCTTTCTTATTATGAGTTGTTGCAAACATGCATGATGACTAGAATTACTTTATACTTTTCTGCAGCCTATGACAGGCTGCCTTCAGGCAGACAGTCCGAAAAGCATCATCAGGTCCCCTACAGAGTGGTGCTCTCTCAGACTTGGAGCTTGGTAAGCCTAGCTTACATGTGAGTAACAGACTCACACCCCTTGAGGCAAATTAAACATAAAAAGATTTAATTACCAATGGATCGGACAGTCCTACCTCCATAAGCAGCTCTATAAGCAGTCAGCAAAGATACAACGTGAGACTATTCCTTATATACACCTGCCATCCTACCTCCATAAGCAGGTCTATAAGCAGTCTGCAAAGTCTGCAAAGTCTGTGAGACTATTCCTTATATACACCTGCCCCAGCACTGATCATGCAAACATCAGCATGGGGCATCTTCCAGCACTGATCATGCAAGCATCAGCATGGAGCCCCGTGTTCAGTTTATCCCCCAGCATCAGCTCTGTTTACTGAAAGTGGCCCCTGAGCACTCACATTTCAGGATGCATTGCAACCGGAAAATGTTGTGACATTTCTTATCTCATCCCCAAAGGAAATGTCACTCCCCTAACATGGAGTCCTTCTGTCTCTGGCATTCTTGATTCTAGCAAGTTTAAACCACTCTGCAGTTGGGCTTTCTTGCCCTCCATGCCAGATCATTCCTTGGTCATGAATTACTGTTGCTGAGCAGTTACAATTTGAATTTTCCCTTCACTAACTACATTGTTAGATTTGTTGTTCCCAGCTCACAGTTGTCTACCAGGTCTCATGTCTCCCTTCTCATTCTCAAAAAGAGCCCTCTTTTCCATTTCCCTGTATCAGTTTTGCTTTTCCTGTCAGATGTTCTTTACCTCTTTAAGTCTAAGTAGAATTCCTACTTTACCTACTCCTTCTCCTAACTGGATTCGGTTTTTGTCCTCTATGCATTTCTTACTAGAAAGTTTCCATAACAGTAAAAATACACAGATTTATCATCCATGGTAACATCCAGTTCTTTCACCTTACCAGCTGAGAGGAGCTAGGAACAACATGAGAGAAGAATTACACATTAGGCCTTATTTCATCCTTAACGCCTTCTATTAAGGCTGTGTAGATAAAACCCTGCTGAATTGCTCTGTGAGGCTGCTTTCCTGCAAGTGCAGTTTGTTGAGACCAAGACCCAAAATGTGGACATGTGAAAAAAAAAAACCAAACCTGAAGTTTACCACAACTGAGTAAACATTTTTGTTTTGTTCTGGTTTTAACTTTCATTACTGAAAATGGCTAACCTACTTTATCTAAGTTTCCCAAAGTGCAGAGTGAGAACATGTCATGCAAAATTTCAGGCCAAACAGTCCAAATTGGAAGCAACAGAAAAGACAGTGTTAAAATGAAAGAGGCTGAGCAACCAAAATAAACCGTACTAAAAAAGACTGCCTATAGTGCATACTTACTCTATACAGTTACAATAATATTATTTGGAAATTGTGTTATCTTGGCAACTCATTTACCTTGAATTCTTCAACAATAATACTCAAGGCTTCATGTCCAGATTTTCTCATGTCTTCTAACTCCTGCTTATGCTTTTCCTGCACAAAAATGTGGAAAGATTATACACAACATAGGCACCCAACACAACAATTTTTATTAGGAGAGTAAAGACCAATTATTTTCCTCATTTTTGACATCTTTCATGAAGAAACACACACATCTTGACTCTTCAGATATAATATATATGCTCAATTCAAGTTGGTTCTAGTATTAAACTTTTTCTTTATTTCTTAATTTTACTTTATTAGTCCCCAGATAATTCTGAATGGTTCTCCAAATGTTTTTAAGATTTTCTTTGTTACTCTGATTTTTCTAGTTTCTTGGCACCTGTGGATGGCACAACTTCCAAATCACTCTCTTAGTAAATGTTATTTACTGCCTATATTAACAAAGATGATAAAATGGACTAGTATAGATTCAGCTTCCTCAGAAGAGCACACCCTTCTCCTACTCACTACATAGCTCCTTTTTTTTTTTATTCCTTAAGTTCTCAGGAAAGTTTTCTTGCATAAGACATCTTGAACATGTTTTTCAAATAAAGCCCTACTGTTTACTATTTCTTTTATTCATAGTATTATGTAAAAATAATGTGGATAGGAACATTCTAATATTTTTACCTTTACAGTAAAATTCTTGCCTATGCTTTGATGAGTCTGGAATGTGAACAACTCATTAGGTTCTCACCAGCATTTCACGCTTATCAATGAGCAGCACCACATTTTCAAATCACCAATTAATCATAAGATGAAAAACTTTCCCTCCCCCCACATTCTTTGCTTCATGGATCTGTTCTTAAATCAGCTGGTACAGCAGGTCATAGGTGTTTTAATCACCTTGGCAAAATGGTGCAGAAAACAGAAAGACAGTAATCACAAGTGTTACCTTGCAGTGAGTACAGGGGAAAACCATATACAACTTACACTACATATTTATTGCTTTTTGAATAGAATTCAAGTTGAAATTAATACAATTTTATGTTTTCTAACATCTGTATGTTTGAAATAAGCAAAACCTAGTGTCTAACAAAGCATGTTCAATTTTATTATTAAAGGCTATGTAACACCATTAAAAATAAATTAATCAGTCTGTAACTCTATATTTGATTAGAGGTTGCTGCTCTGCCATTCAGTTCCTTTCTCCTGAAAGGGCCATCTTAGCAGAAAGTTTAAAATTATAGCTATACAAAATTCTTATTTTTCACCCAAATATAATGAGACATTCAGATTCTCTGGAATAGAACTGTTTCGTTTTTTATCTTGTGAAGCCCTGCAAAAACAACTGATACGAAGCAGAAGAACTGAAGATGGAAATATTTTGACATGTAAATAAACTACTACATCAGATAACAATGCACAGCATCTGGGTACATCGATTTGATCACATTGTGATGCATTGGTATTACTGACTCCACAAACCAGTTAAACTCAGACAATACATATGCAAAAAAACCCCCAACTGTTGAGCTAGAAATATTTTTACAGTACAAAACTACAGAATTGGTATAAGTAGGAAAAATGTAATACAGTGATTAACTCCAAAACTTGACAAATCATTAACAAATACATTCCCTGTGAAAAGTGAACATAGGGGAAAAAAATGCAAAAAATGTAATTGCTACAGTAGCACATCCTGGATTCACAAATATGAAAAAAAGAATTGTATTGAAAGAGGAAGTTAATTGTCATTAATTACTCTAGCTGAAAAAAAACCCCACAAAACAACAAAACCAAAACTGAAGAGAAAGCATTCAATGTTGAGAAAAGCCTTTAAATGGGAAGAGTTAAACCAGTAAGATTTCCATCTAAGGTCTGTCAAAATTACATTGAATGCAACAATGAGACATAGTGGATCAAGTGTGTTGACCAAGGAAGAAACAGATTTCATTCTGGTAAAAAGTACAGTGCCTCTCACTAGCATTACCAGGCAAATCAAGAGAGGAAGCAAAAAAATGTAGTTTTTCCTCTTACAGTAACTCTCTCAAGTGTTTCAGAATTAGCGACTTGTTCAAAGTCATGTACTAAATGCAAACTAATAACACAAGTTGAAGCATCAACACCAGGTATAACTACCAACATGAAGATTTCATTCAACACATTTTAAAGTACTTAACTTTCTTAAAATATCTCCTAAAGTAGAGGAAAAAAAGTAATTAGTAAAGAACTAATAGTAAGGCATCCGTTTGCCTGGGTCAGGTCTAGCAATCAGTTTCTACAACAGGGGTAGAAGAGAGAATGAAAGGCGCACAGACAAAAAGTTAACGGTCACATTGCAATTCTTCTTTCAAGTAAGGTCTTCGTACAGTCTGACAAACACTACACTGTCTTTTTTCTGTGTATATTTCCAAGATTCTTCAGCTAAGACAGAAGGCCTATAAGTTTATTTCTTTTAACTTGTAAAAGCACATTTCAATTCTGTTGAGGAGGGCTGATCTTTTTTTCCGAAAGTCGGTAAAATACTGTTTCAAAATCTTATAGATGCATCACTCAAAGGAATGTGTGCTTGGTCCTTGTAATAGCCCCAAAGTCACTTTAAGTAACGCATTTTGGAAGTGCATGCATTGATTTAGTGTCTAACAGTGAAGATACATCAAAGTTCCTGAGTTTCATGATTTGGCTATGAACACAACAGAAACATCCCAAGAACAGCAACATACTCATTTGATGAACAATGGGCATGTCAGTTCTTCATAAATCCTCAAATGTGTAGTTTTCATAGGAAAATGAGATTAATGAATTGACATAACTACTGTTAGAAATATTACTGTGCTTGTAAGAAGGAAAAGGGAAGCTCTATGAAAAGTTCTGAATGGTGTAGACCTGAAATTAAAATGTAATATTCGTATTTCCTATCAAAGAGAGAATTTTGTGTTTTCTGGCTCTTATAGAATTCTCCTGCATGGTTTGCATAATTTGGGGGGCGGGGGAGTTAAAGAACGTTGTTGTTCCTTTCTTTTATTTAATAAATGTTTTTAAGAAAGGACTCAAACATGAATTGAGAAGTTTGAAATTTAAGTAAAATCATCTTCAGAGGACTTTAACCCCATCCCCTTGTGCCTTATGACGGACAGAATCTCACATCAGAATGCTGACAGTACTTAAACATAAATTTGGAAGACAGAGGGGTTTATTTTATTTTGTGATCAAAATCTTCACAATCATTCCAGAGAGCACGAGGCATTCAGTGTGGACACACTATGAAAGTAACAGGCAATTCATTGCTCAATGGTTATCAATGTTTCAATTTTTTCCATTTTGTGATTCTTATATGAGGAAACATGTCATTATGAACAATTCATGCATAAGAATACAGGCTTTAATGCTACCAAATGTACGTGCTGTAGGAAACTCAAATAAAACTGGAATGGTAAGGATAAGAAAATGGTATCGAACTTTGAAAGTTTTCTTACAATCTAAAAGCCAAATTACTCCAGACTCTCCTTTTCTTCTGTTAGGCCTCTGCGAATTAAACCATTGTAGAAGCAGATGGATCCAAATGCCAGTGAGCTTCTGAGAGGTGCAGTTCTTAAGGATGCCGCTGGGCACAGAAGTCTTCTGAAATGGCTGTGACAGCAGGAAATGTTGCCAACCACCCGCCATCCAGCTGCTTGTCACTGCCTGCTGATTGCATTAGCATTTCTTTTAGATTTTTAAGCTGAATTGCCTCCCGTATCATTTCAGTCTAAGTGAACCATTGTTAGCATGAACAGTTTAAGCAGGGTTCTTTTTTAACATTCAACATTTTGGCAGAAATGCAGGGCATGTGTTTGTGAATACTGGGAAGTGAAAGGGTAACACCTCTCAGAGTACTATGTAAGATCCGCAACAAGAAAGCTGGAGAGGGACCTTTTGCAAGGGCATGCAGTGATAGGATGAGGGGTAATGGCTTGAAACTAGAAGAGGGTAGATTTAGATTAGATATCAGGTCAGGACGAAATTATTTACTCTGAGAGTGGTGAGACACTGGAACAGGATGCCCAGCAGATGTCCCATCTCTAGAGGTGGTCAAGACCAGGCTGGATGGGGCTTTGAGTAACCTGGTCTGGTGGCAGGTGTCCCTGCCCATAGCAGGGGGGTTGGAATCTTTAAGGTCCCTTCCAACTTAAACCATTCTATGATTCTATGATTTGTGAGATCTGATTGGGTAAGAAGAGAAAGTAAAGACCTCAAACTTATTTTATTTCATTATATTTACTTTTAAGTTGATACATTTTTCTGCTAACTTTTTAAGAGCCAGACTGTCTTGAATTGTTGGGGAAAAGTGCATGCCACCCATAGACTCTGCACAGATTCCCTACCAACCTTCCACTCTGCCATACCCGCATGTCACAAATATTGTAACAGCAATAGGTGATCAAAATGATGCTTAGTGGATGCTTAGAAAAAATATTTTGTGCAAGTTCTCCTAGCACATATAAAAAACAGCATCAAAAAGAGACTTCATACTGCAAATTAGGGCCATGAAACACAGGCACCTGAAAAGGAAGCAAATGGCTACATATGAAAGTATCTTTTGATAATAATCAGCCCACAGGAGTAAACACCGTAGTATTTTAACAATCTCATTTCTACAGCAAGCATAACTGACACCAAAAAACCACAAAGTTTTAAAAATAACTGAAGAAATTCATTTATATCATACCTACTGAATTTATGATATTTTCTCCACAGGTATATTTTTCCCCACTGATTTTTCTCATGTGGTCAGAGCAAAAGAAATTTGTTAGATCTTCCTCTTGTTTTATTAGATTATCAATAATCACAATTTATAACATTAAAAAAGATCAGACCAGCAATACACAGATAAAGCAAAAGGCAGTACTGCAAAGAAGCACTATGAGATTGCATTTATATGTGGGGAAAAAATGATAGAAGAAATAAAATCAGTTCAGGAAAAGATTCCAATTTTTTTTGTCCGCTTTCACAAATAATCAAATGTGATCCATAAAATAAAATCCTGTATTTTGGGGTCAACTGATATTATGTGATTTTTACATTTTATGTTACTTATTCATAAACCTAGTTTAAATACAAGTCAGGAA